TGTAGCTGTAGGAGTCCCCCATCCCTGAGTCCCTGCCAGCTTTTCCCTTGCAGCTAGTGCTTGGGACTGTGGGAAGATGTTTTGCTGCCACCTTGTGGGCAAGAAAAGCCAGATGCATCTTGGAGGCCAGCGTGGCTCTGGGACCACAGAACATTGAAAAAGCCTGCGGCCTTTCCCTGCAGAGCCAGCCTCCAGCTTCCACCTCCAAAGATAGTTGCTCCTTCCTCATCCACCTGCCAGCTTCCTATGTGCTGTGTGACCTCACCAGGCACAGCCCAGGACTTATTAGTGCCTTGGCCAGCAAACACTGGGTGGGGACCAAGTGCCAGCCTTCATGGGCTTCCTGGGGTAGAGCTGCCTTCCCTCTTTGTCACGATAGGGCTGTGTCTCATGTCCCTTTTCCCCCAGCCCAACCCAGGGAGCCTTCTCCTTCTGCATAGGACACTGGATGTGCCAGTGCATGGCTCAGCCAGCTGTTGGGCACATCTGGAGTCAGACTCCAGGTGCTCAGGGAAGGAGGGGGGCCTGGTGTTCGGCTTCTGCACTTTCTGCCTGGCAGAAGTGGTGGTCATCCATCCTGACCCAGAATCCACACCACAGGTACCTGTGAGAGGGTTCATATTGAATTTCCTGGAAACCGAAACATCCACAGAGCTTTCCAGGCCTTAGAAGGAAGTATACACTTGGTGCTTCTGAAAGCCTGAATTAGACTAGTTCTTTGGGATTTCAGTCGATCTGGTCTAGGAATTCCTAGCCTGGAGCTTTTTAGGGCTGCCTTCTGTGCCTCAGGCCCAGGGGGTTATGACTATGTGGAATTTTGCAGCAGGATCCCATCAGATGCAGGAGAGAAACCATGTCTCTGGCCTGGGGCTCACCCCTTGAGGAACAGAGGTGTATGCTTGCCCCTGCTCTGCCTTTTGGGGTCCTTGATTGACCCAATGTTTAGCCAGGAGGTGCCCTTGTCTCTAATTTCTCTGGATCAGGAAAATTTTCTGGGGAAAAGGGCTGGAGGAGGTGGATAAGTGAGGAACAGAAGCCGTGCAGCTTGGGAACTGACCCAAGCTTTCGGCCCAGACAGATTCTGTAGGCCCAGGGGGACCTGGAAGCTCCGCGTCCTCTGAGATTGAACAACACTGTCTTGGGGACTGGGCACAGGTGCCTGCCCTCTCTGATTGTGCCTGTGTGTACACACATGCATGTGCGTGTGCAGGTTTTTGTGACTAGCATTGTGAAGCTGGGGCACTCTTTTTTTCAATACTAAGGATTGAACCCAGGGCCTTTGCACTGAGCTATGCCTCCTGATCCTTTTTAAATTTTGAGACAGGGTCTCACTAAGTTGCTAAGTTACCTAGACTGGGTTTAAGGTTGTGAGTCTCTTGCCTCAGCCTCCCAGAGTGCTGGGATTGCAGGCGTGCTCCACCACGCCCAGTTGGACAGCTTTAGTTTTTTGAGGAATAATGAGGGGACCAACAGACAGATGCAGATAGCAAAGTCAAAGCAGTTTTTCTTCTGTAACTCAGGAAGGTTGGCTGGATTATACTTGGAAATGTGAGTTGAGTTCAGAGTTGGGTTCTTGTCGCTGTTCCTGCCCAAGAACCCTGGGAAAGACTCCTCTGGAGCCAGTCTTTTACTGGGGAATGTACATCCTGGGTAGGAGGAAGCAGCCTGACCTCAATGCTAGTAATAACTAGTCCTACAAAATGCAAAATGCCCTGGAGATCCAGCCCGGGACTTGGGAGTTTCCAGCCCTCAGAAGTCTGCAGGCACCTAGGCTGGGGCGGTCCCTGTCTTCCCAGGCATCCCCAGCCCCAGCCCCCTCAGGAATGTACGTTTATCTCCTCCTGCCTCTGAGGGGACCTGGAATGCTAAAGCTTCAAAGGACTCTGGGAGTTGGTTTGGACTGGGGTGGAGGAAACCCTGGGAGCAAGATCTCTTTCCAGGCCCCAAGCCCCCCCTCATCCCTTGCCACTGCCTAAACTGGTTTCTCCTGATCCATTCCTGTGGAAAACTGCATGCAACCCTGCACCTCTGTGGATCTCAGAAGCCAGCTCTCTTGAGGCCTGGGAGAGGAGGGATGTGGACAGTGCTGGGTTCAGCACAGCAAACAGCTCCTGCTCTGTTCTGGGAGAACCTGGATTTTCTGGTGTCTGGTGTAGGCTGCACCCATGAACCAAGAAGGCATCGGAGTGTGTGGTGTTTCCCTCAACAGAGTCAGGCCCTACATCAGCTGGACAGGAAGGGAGGCCCAGCAAGCAATGGGGCAGCCACCAGAGATCTCAGCAGTGTCACCTGCCTAGAGCTGTGATCCAGGCCTGGAGGTTATCTGTGGATTTTTCTGCTGCTCTTGGGCAGGATGATACTTAACCCAAATTGGGCAGATGAGTATCTTCTGGATCTTCTAATCTCCAAAGAACGAGACACCCTTGGTCATTAGCAGCCGCTGTCGATTCCACCACCTCTCAGCCTCAGAGTGGGCCAAACCCTGAGATAGGATCTCCTCGATCAAACTCCCCACTTTACAGATGCCCAGCGATGGCCTAAGACTCACCTCCTGAGTCCTAATAAATCCAGCCTTGGTGTCCTCAGTCCATCTGATTGCTCTTCCTTCAGAGAGCGAAAATGGTACACTTTTTTCCAAAATGGTGCCCACTGTGTGATGTGCTCCAGGACTGTTACTTATTTGGCCTGCTCTTAATGACAGCTCCTCACCTACCTGCCCAGTCCTAGGAGGAGCCCTGGGCTGGAATTTCCTGTTTTTTGAGGGCTCCCGGGGCTGCCCCAGCAGGCCGGCCCCCTGCTCCGCCGCCGTTCCTCGGTGTTCCAGGCCAGACTTGCCACCTGCCTCTCCCGGCTGGGCTGGCTCCCAGCCCCTCCAGGTCTGGGCTTGCCGGCTGCTGCGGGGTGGAGGAGTCGAGGGACTTGGTTGGGCCCACACCAGGCGCCCAGAGGCCGGAGGTCCGTGCGCCCTCGGCCACGGCCCCGGCCCGGGCCCAGCCCCGCGCCCCTCGCCATGGGCCTGGCCTTCCTCGTCCGCGGGCCCTGAGCATGGAGCGGGGCTGGCCGTCGCGGGGGGACAGCTGCAGCGGGGAGCGGCCTGCCGCCTGCCGCCGCGCCCGGAGCGTCAGCGACTCGCTGGACCTGCACTGCGCCCTGGCCGGCTGCCCCGCCGCCACCCTGCAGGCCGCCCTGTGCGCAGCGCGCGAGCAGCCAGCACGGCCTCGGAGTGTCTGCTCGGCTGACCCAGGGCCCGCGCCCCCGGGCGCCCGCAGCCTGCTGCTTGGCCTCCTGCGGCCACGCCTGGGCCGCCGGGGCCCCGCGCCCTCGGGGCGGCCCGGTTCCTCGGTGGCCAGTCCCGCGCCCAGCCCCTCACCCGCCCGGCGCAGCCGCGCCCCGGGGGAGCCGGCGCCGCGCCCCCGGCCCACCAGCATGACGTTCCTGGAGCTGAACCGCCTGGAGCTGGCTGCCGCCGAGACGTCGCCTGGCGCGGGGGCGGGCACGGGGCTGGGGCGCGCAGGTAGCGCGGGCTTCCTGCGCGGTGCCTCCCTCTGGAGCAGCCAGAGGTGGCAGGTGTTCCGTGGGACGCGCAGTGCGGAGACCTCCCGGCGTGGCCTCTCAGCGCTCAGAAAGAGCTTCAGCTTCCGCCTGCGCCGTGGCCAAGAGATACGGCGCTCCGAGTCCGGGCTGTTGGCCCGGCCGCCCCGTGCGCGCACCCGCAGCGACGGCGACGCCAGCTCCCTGGGCGCCTTCCCCAGCCGCCGCGACCTGCTGGGCGCCGAGACCCAGCGCGCCACGCCCGAGCCTGGCCGCCCCCGCGCCGCTGCCAGCCTCTGGAAGCTGCTCACCAGCCGCTTCCGCCGGAGGGAGCCCGTTTCACTGTGGGGCCGCCGCGACCCAGGGCTTCGGGGCGCGCGGAGCGGTAAGGGGTGTCGGCCCCCCAGAGTGGCTTCTGGGGTGAAAGCTGTCAGGAAACTGCAGGACATTACCTGGTAGAGGCGCCATGTGCCCAAGTAGCTGGGAATGGCCTAGATGCCATCAGCACCCAGCCCTCCCCTGGGGGGGGGGGTGTCCTCCAGTGTTCAGAGGAGGTGGCAGTGACAGAGAAGGACTCTAGGCCCCAGTAGGCTATGGTACCAGCCAGGCACCCTGGAGTAGACCAGAGTTCGAATGCAGTCCTCCCATTTTTGGGATGCACAGTTGCAGTATGCGAAGGAAGGAACCCCCCGGCCCCGCCCCAGTCGGATGGCTCTAGGCCAGGCAGTTTCTTAGGGTGGACCTCTGTAGGTGGGGTCAGGGACTGTTGTCGGGTAGTAATGATTACAGTGTAACAGTGCAAGGGCAAGACAAAGGCCAGCTCAGGCCTGGCCACCTCATGCTAGTTGGAGGTTGGAGGTGCACACTAGAAGGAAAAGGGGACAGGTCTGGCTGTCACTGGGCATCTGGGGGCTGGAGGCTTCCTGAGAGTCAGGGGCCCTTTGGTACTGGGAGTGGAGGGCAAGGAAGGGAGGGAGGCTGGGGATGGGCTCACAGCTGAGAAGCTAGGGAGGAGGCCTGATAAGGCGGAGCTGGCTAGATAGGCCTGGCTGGACCCGCCCCTATAGAACAGGGCCAGGTGAGGCCCCGCCTTTTTCACCCTGGCTCGGGAATGTGGTGGGTGGCCCCACCCTGCCAGGTGAGCTGTTCCTACTTGCAGAAGGCTGGCCCGCCCCCCTGCCAGGGGCCTGTCCATTGTGGGTCAGCCTGAGACCTACCAGAGTGGCCTCTACCTGGAGTGAGAGGCACCTGGGCACCGGGCCAGGTGGGCACTGTTTACCTGCTTGCTGCAGCATAAAGATGGACTGGAAGGACACAAGAAAGTCCAGGAAGGACTGAGCCTCGGCCCTCACTTCTGTTCTGTAGACTGTCCTCACTGTCCTGCTCGCTTGGGAAAACCCCTCCACTGCTCCCTAGGGAACTAGTATGTGTGCCAGTGTGGCCCTGACAGGGTGGCTCTGTCTTCACAGACTCATTTGTGAACAGCCAGGAGTGGACGCTAAGCCGCTCAGTGCCAGAGCTTAAAGTGGTGAGTGAGCTGGGGGAGACCTGGGGACTCCATGGCTGGGTGAGCCAGGCTCAGAGCATGGGCCTGGGCATGGATTGCTTCTCTTGGTGTCCCTCCCCTTCCCCTGTGGCCTTGGCTTCCTCCACAGCCTCATGGTTCTTCTGAGCCCCTTTCCCCTCCTGCCTGCTGCATCCTTTCTTTGTGTTTTGAGACAGGGTCTCACTATATATTCCGGGCTGGCCTTGAACTTGTGGCCGTCCTCCTGCTTCACCCTCCCAAGTGCTGGGATTACAGGCATGCGCCACCACGTCAGTCTCCTAAATGCTCTTTATTCACCCTGCAGCCTGGTCTTTCTTCTCCTGTATGCCTTTGACCTTTGCTGTGCCCTTTCCTGTCCTGCAGGGCATAGTGGGAAACTTGTCCAGTGGAAAGTCGGCTCTGGTGCACCGCTATCTCACAGGAACCTATGTCCAAGAGGAATCCCCAGAAGGTGAGTGCCACTTGAGCCCTTTCGCTGCTGCAGTGTCTTAAGTGGGTGCCTCGAGCTCCTTTTCCTCCCCAGTCCTCTTATCTCTTCCATGTGGAGCCTGCCCTACCTGGCCCCGGGTACCCTGTCTGAATTTGGTCCTGACCTTGTGCTCTGTCCTAGGCGGTCGGTTTAAGAAGGAGATCGTGGTGGATGGTCAGAGTTACCTGCTGCTGATCCGAGATGAAGGTGGCCCTCCGGAGCTCCAGGTGATGCCTCTGCCCCGGCTGCGGCTGCCCCTGTGCACAGCACCCCTCCCTGGGCCTCCCTGGCTCCCTGATCCGGGTTGCCTGTCTGGGGAGCAAGGCCTGCCAGGATCTGCCACCTGCCCACCTCTTGCTGGGGTGGCAGGGCCCAGGTAAGGGTTCTAACTCTGCTTGCTCTCTTCTAGTTTGCAGCCTGGGTAGACGCCGTGGTATTTGTGTTCAGCCTGGAGGATGAGATCAGCTTCCAGACAGTGTACAACTACTTCCTGCGGCTCTGCAGCTTCCGAAATGCCAGCGAGGTGCCCATGGTGCTGGTGGGCACACAGGGTGAGCTGGCAGGACAGTGGAGGCAGACGAGGAGAGTGCCTCCATCCCCACTTCCATCCCAGCAATGGTGGTCTCTCGGCCCCTTCTCTGTGGATTGTAACCCAGGGCTTCCCTCAGTTACTTTTCTCTGGCTAAGTCTGGCAAACCGTGTGCCACAGATTCTTATCCACAGTATTTTTGTTGTTTGTTTTTTGTTTTTTGAGATAGGGTCTCGCTGTGTAGTTCAGGCTGGGCTAAAACTTACTATATAGCCCAGGCTGGCCTGGAACTCACAGGGATCCTCCTGCCTCAGCTTCCAGGGCGCTGGATTACATGTGTGCACCACCACACCCAGCTTCATGTTCCAAGTTTTGGGTTTTTTTGGTTTCAGGGATTGAACTCAGGACTTTGCACTTGCAAGGCAGGCAGGGGCACCACTGAGCTAAATCCCTGGCCCACGTCCCAAGTTTTTGAGAGGAATAAACAGCTCAGAAATTAAGTCATCGGCTCCAAGGCTCAGACACCTTGGTTATTGGTGCTCTGTGCACCCTCCTGGCCAGGCCCTCTGCCCACTGACCCTTGCCACGCACATCTGTCCCCTGGCCCCTCCCAGCCAGCTGAGTGACCCTCACCTCTCCAACAGACGCCATAAGTGCTGCCAACCCCCGGGTCATTGACGATGGCCGGGCCCGCAAACTCTCCACGGACCTGAAACGCTGCACCTATTATGAGACGTGTGCAACCTACGGGCTCAACGTGGAGCGCGTCTTCCAGGACGGTAACTCGGGCTCGGGCTCGGGCTCGGCACAGGGTGGAGGACGGCTCCCCGGCTGGCAGCTGCACGTTTTGGGGAGTGGTGCTGCATGGGCTTTCTCCCCAGGGGATATAATGACTCTTCTGTCCCCTGTAGTGGCCCAGAAAGTGGTGGCCTTGCGGAAGAAGCAGCAGCTTGCTATCGGGCCCTGCAAATCTCTGCCCAACTCGCCCAGCCACTCGGCTGTGTCCGCCGCCTCCATCCCGGCCGTGCACATCAACCAGGTGTGGTTGCCACCCCATACTCCCTGGTCCTGGCCCCAGCCTGTCTGTCTCGAGCGTCCACCTCATCTTCACCCTGCCCACCTCCCTCTGCCTCTGGCCTCGCATGCAGCACCGGCGCGACTTCCATTTAGCCTGCACCATCGGACCTGGCCTCGGCTCTGCCCCATGGTGACTGTCCCTCCCCGCTCCCAGCTTTCATCCCTGCCATCCCTCCCAGCCACTTCTGCTTAGAAAGTACAAACCGGTGCTCTTGTGAGCACTGTGACAGTCGTCTCGAGAGCTGCTGCTTGTGGCAGCTCGCTGTGGGCACAGGGCAGGGAGAGGGTTCTTTTAGGCCTGCTCAACACTGGCCCTTGGCAGCCTGGCCCAACCCCTCTCCTTTCCTCTCCTGGTGAGCCCCTCTTTCACTCACCAGCCGCCTCAGTGCCATCCTCCCCCAAGAGGAGGAAACAGCCAACAGCCTTGTGCCCACTAAGCAGTGGTTTAGCCCTTGAAAAGTGTTGGCATTTTAGGAGGGCAGCACTTGTCCCGAGAGGTGAATGGCTGAAGGTGTCATGGGTGGTTGGGGGGGGCTTCAGAGCCAGGTCCTGCCACTGCCCATCTCAGCGCTACATGGATACCTGTCAACCGGTAGATACGTGTCCAGAGACCTGTAGGTACCTGTAGACAGGTATCCTGTTGCTGGGTCAGCTTTTGGCCCTTGGCACCTGGGCCAGCCCTTGGTTCTCTATCTGCGTGTACCACTTTGCCATGCTGTGCTGCAGACCCTGGGCCACCTATGGATGGGCTCCGTGGAGTGGTCAGGCCAACAGCCGCCGTGCTACCCAGTGACAGCCTGGGTGTGGTTCAGATGCCCTTCCCTTTAGGGCTTGTGAGAAAGTGCAAAGGTTTCCATGGGGAAAGAGGAGGAGGAGGAGGAGGAGGAGGAGGACAACGATGACTAGGGCTTTCTTGGCTGGCTGAGCAGCTGCTCTCTCCGTCTGCAAACCAGGCCAGGGTTCTTGCAGGGCAGCTGTTTGGGGGACCCCTCCCCCCAGGGAGGCTGTGGGGTTGGTGAGGCCACACCCTGTGCTCCTTTGGTTTCAAGGGAAGTGAGCCATCAGACAGATGGGGTGCAGGCACCTGGTTTCCCTGTGCTGTCTCCCGAGTCCTGGAGTCTGTCTCCTGCATTCTTGTCTCCATTTCTGTGAGCTCTGCTGTCTTCCTCTTCCTTTCCCTCTTCTGTGCTTTACCTGCAGCTCGCTCGGCAGCCTTAGCTCAGTCCTGCCCTCTGCCTTGGCCTTCGGAACCCTTTTCCCTCCCACACACTTGTGGACCTCAGGCTTCCCCACACCTTGTGCCCAGCCTAGACCCCAGCTCACACCTGTCAGTGTCCTGTCCCTGGCACGCATTACTTGCTTTGGAGGAGGCACATCCAGGTGACCTGCCTCCTCCTTCCAGGCCAATCTGCTAGCCAGGGTCCACAGTTGGCTCATTTTCAGGCTTCGTCCTGATTTTGGCCTGGTGACCCTCACCTCTGGTTTAGCTTCCTGCTTGGGGCTGAAGGAGCCCAAGCCTCAGGACAGAGATGCTCTGGCTTCAAGGGCAGCCCTGGAGAGCAGTCATGACAGGTTCCTTCCAGCCTCTAGGCCAGGGCAACTCCCCCGTGCACCCAGGCCAGTTCCCCGGCACCTGCCCCAGAGCCTCCCTCAGCACCCCTCTCTGTCCATAGGCCACAAATGGCGGCAGCAGCGCCTTCAGCGACTACTCGTCCTCAGTCCCCTCTACCCCCAGCATCAGCCAGCGGGAACTGCGCATCGAGACCATCGCTGCCTCCTCCACCCCCACGCCCATCCGCAAGCAGTCCAAGCGGCGCTCCAACATCTTCACGGTACGTGCCCTGCCCTCCTCCCTGCCCAGCCGCCTTGCAGCGCGGGCAGGGCCGAGCGCCGAGCACCCAGCCAGGAGGACACGGGAGGCCCTAGGTCAGGATGATGCCACTGCAGCCTTCCGCTCTCGCACGTAGACACACATGGCTTCTGGAGGCTCCCGGCCGGGCCCCCAGAGTCTTGCAGACCCGTCCTGTGGGCCCACAAGGGGCTGCTTCCCTTGGCTTCCCAAACCACACCCCCAGCCCTCCACCCCGTGTGCACAGGCTTGCCCCTGCAGCCTCCCCCCACCCAGCCCCAGGTCTCTGTGTCAGCTTGCACGGATCTTGGGACTCTTGGCCTAACTGCCCTGACCCCTTTGATTCAACAGCTAATGAACCGGAGGCCGGAAGGCTGTTTGCCCAAGGCGACACAGAGGGTTAGCTGGCCGAGCTAGAGTCAGAGCCAGGCCTCCCAATCCACCTTCCGGCTCTTTTTCCATTACCCCACTGCCGAGGGGAACTCTCATGCTTCCCACCCACCGCTGTGATTGGTTTAACAAAGGCTTAGCCATCTTTTCCTGGGCTTCACCACGCTGCCTCGTACCTCCCGCTCAGGTTTGTCCTGTCTCCTTGTGAGCTCTTGCCCCTCTGCTCTTAGGCCCCTGCGCCTGCCATCTCTCTACCCCCCAGTTCTTGCAGTGTCTGCCACGCTCTGTCCCTCCTGCTGGGTCCTGGCCGGCCCCTTCCCGGAGCCTTGGCCAGACAGGTGGGGAGCTGCCCAGCCCTCCCATGCGCCTCAGTGAGAGCTGGGGCTGGGCTCTGGCCTGGGCCCCCACAGAGCCAGTGCCCGGCCTCACTCCTCCATCTTTGCCTCTGCCCTGCCCTGAACACCTCTCCCTGCCTCCGTCCACCGTGCCCACCCACCACCACACACCCATCGCCGTCTGTACTTGCTGAGCTGACTCCTACCGCTGCGCTTACCTGGCCCTGCAGCTTCTCGTTTCTGTTCTGTTCTGTCCACAGAGGTGGTGGCCACCTGCTGGTGCCCATACCTGCCTGTGTCACAGCGGCTGCTGCCAGTGGCCCAGGCACTCTGCTCCCCAACATTGTGCCTCAGTCATCTGCTGCTTTGGTTCCATTCTTAACTTCCCATTCTCCTCCCTGCTAGCTGGCTCAACCCCACGCAGGGCACCTGCCACCTCCCCCTCCACCTGCCATGCCCTGCTGGCTCCATGGCCTGTGCTCCCCACGGCACCTCCACCCTCCCTCCCCGTCTCTGCTGCTTGCCTGGCTCGACTGTGCTGCCCCCATGCCTTGCTGCTGCAAGCTCACAGCACGGCCTTCCCTGCGGGCCCTTCCATCCTCTCCATCTTCACAGTGGCGACCTTGTTTTTTCTTTCCATCATCTCCATGGTGACTTCACTTGCGCTGTCCTCCCCAAGGCGGAGGCGCGTCCGTCTCTGAGGGTGTAGTTTGGGGCCTCCTCCATCGCTGTCAGAGCCACCCACCTCTCTTCTCCCTCGTTGTCCTTCCCAGTGGAGTCACACCTGCTCGAGGGGAGGCCCCTGGTGTCCTGCCTGTCTGTGGCTGGTGACCCCTCATGATCCCATGCACTCATTTGCTGCCACTCTTGCCCCATTCCCATCCCCCCTGGGGGAGGTGCCCTCTGGGCTCCCAGGGTTCCTCTGGTGGTTGGCGGCCTCACCCAGCAGCAGTTCTGCCTGGGGATCTGCTGGCAGTGGTCTCACCCACCTTCCTCCTACCCGGGCTGAAGGGGCAGAGGGCTGGGACACGTGCTGACCTAGAGCTGCTGGGTGGCCAGTTCCTCTCTGGCGGCTCTTCGCCAGGTTCCCCCTCTGGTTGGGCCTTCTCACACTGCAGTTGCAGTCCTCTGTCCCCTGCCTGTGGCCTTGGCTCCTGGCAGCCTGGGAGAACAGGAGGGCCTGGGCCACTGAGATGAGCTGCAGACCCCATGTGCCCAGTGGGTGCAGCCGCTGCCGCCTCCTGCCTCCTCCTCGTCCTCCTCCTGCTGTTCCTCCTGCTCCTCTTCATCCCACTGCTGCCTCTCCCCAGGTGCCTGGGTCTCCGCCCTCACCATGCTGACCAACTCGTGCGGGGCTTGAGTATAACTTGCCAAAATCTTTATTCTTTCGATATTTGCAGATATGTGCCACTGTTTCCAACTTTTCATCAACAAAAAGGCCTTTCCAACTCCTTCCAAATTAGAAGACCAGGTGGTGATACACAGCACCTCTGGACATTCCCCCTGTGTGGGGCCAAGGCGGGCCGGGCCCTGGGACTGCTCTCAGATGAGAAGCGGCCGCCGAGCTCCCCGCTCCAGAGACCCACAGGAACCTTTGTAACTAACCCCACCCCCAGGGAAGGCTAGGAACGCAGAGCCCGCCCGCCCACCCGCCTGCCCACACTGGGGGCTGCCGGGGACCGGGGACCGGGGACCAGGCCCGGCCGGATGCTGCGCCAGGCTCCAGGCTCGCTGCATGGAGAAGAAGGGAGCTCGGCCCCACGCCGGCTCGGCCGGCCAGCGCAACAAGGCCCAGAGGGGTGGCCGCCCCCACCCCACCCGGCCCGCCGCCCACTGCGGGCCCAGCTGCTCTGGGGGGCGCTTTCCTGCCCCTCCCCTCCTCTGCTCCTTCCTGCATGGACTTCTGCCGTTCCTGCTCCTGCTCCGGAAGCCGTCGCCACCGCCACCACGCTTGCCTTGCCCCTTTTTTTTGGCCTTCCCTGTTTCCTAGGATCCGCATTTCCGTGGACTCTGCCCCAGGAGCTTGGTGGGGCACAGGGCCTCTTCCGCCCTCTTCTCTCTCTCCATCCACTGTGCCCTCCAGGGGGCCAGGCCACCGCGCTCGGCGCCCGCCGCCCGCCGCCCGCCGCCACTTGCCGTGTGGTGTCTGTGCTGCAGGGGCCACCTGCCTGCTCACTTCCGGACTTTGCTCTCCCGGTTGCCGCCCAGTGCTCCCGGCCAGCCCTCAACCCCATGGCCACCTCTCCTGGCCCCTCCCGTCTCTTGTGCCCCAGCCCCCTGGGCTGCGTGGTCCTCACTCACGCACCCCCTTCCTCCTCCTCCTCCTCTTCCTCCTCGGTAATTTCGTGTCCTTGCTCTCTTGTGAGGGGCGGGCCGGCTCAGTGACCTGTGCTGCTCTGTATGGTACCGTGTGTAAGAATAAACCCGTTGGAATACTCGTGGTCTCCGTTCCTTCCCATCCCGCCGCCCTGGCCCAACCTGACCTGCTGCTAGGGCTGCCCAGGAAGGGAGGAAGGCGGGAGGGCTGGGACCTGTAGGCGGGCAGCCTCTGTGGTGGCCCTGCACCTCTAACGTGCTGCTTCTGTTCTCTTCCAGTCTCGAAAGGGGGCTGACCTGGACCGGGACAAGAAGGCTGCCGAGTGCAAGGTGGACAGCATCGGGAGCGGCCGGGCCATCCCCATTAAGCAGGTCAGCACCGCTCCCTGAGGGCCCATGGCAGCTGAGAGTGAGGCCCAGGCAGTGCTAGGGTAGGGGGCTTGTGTTTTTGAGACAGGGCTCACTGTATAGTTGAAGCCAGCCTTGAACGTGCTGTGCAGCTCAGGGAGCACCTCCCTCCCCTGCCTGAATCCTTTCCAAGGGACAGGTGTTCCTGGTTAGGAACCCAGTGCTGGTTGCTGCGGCAGCACTGCCTGTCCCTCCTCATTACCACTGGAGGGCAGCAGAGAACCACCTGCTGCCCTCAGTCGGTGGCTCCCAGACCTGCTGGCTCTGGAGTTCAGCCTGGACTCAGGCCTAGGGAAAAGCTGTGGCCAGAGTACCTGAGGAGCCTGCTTAGGAATACTGAGGTCTGGTCTCATCTGAGGTTATTGGTGCAGTTTTATCAGTAGGTGCATCTGTTTTTTGTCCGTTTTGAGAGAGGCTTTTTATGGTCAGGTTTGGCCTTGAACTCACTATGTAGCCCAGGCTGGCCTCCAACTTTTGGTGATCCTCCTGCCTCAGCCTCCTGAGTGCTGGGATTGCAGGTGTGCACTACCACGCCCAGCTCTCTGTTAGTGTTTTAAAGGAAATATTTAGTTGAGATGCTGTGCCCCCATGACTCCCTGATATTCTTTTTCTCCCAGAGCTCATGTTGGGTGTTCCTGTGGTGGGCAGGGAGGCAGGGTTGGGAAGCAGGAGCCCTGGGCTGCTAGCCTGGACAGGAGGCAAGGGGACCTGGAGGACCAGGCGGGGGCAGTAGTCAGTCTTGGACTCAGCCTGTCTCCTGGAGCTGGCCTGGCAATTGGAGAGGTTGCATCCAGGGGGGCCACACTGCGCTGTCCTGACCACAGGGGATCCTGGGGTCCTTGGCTGTCCTTGTGGGCCTGTGGGCCATGTGAGCTTTTAGGAACGGGGCCAGCCAGTGTGATGAGGACTCATGTGTCATGGGGCCTTCTGATGCTCTGTGAAGGTCTCTTCAGAGCGGTGTCCAGGAGCCAGTCAGGGCCCCGGAGGGCAGAGCAGGGAACCAGGCCTTGACCCAGGCCCTCCCTTTTCTGTCTCATCCTCCCTTGAAGTGTCTGGCAGGGCCACACGGGTGGAGCCCCCGATCCTGGCCCTGCGCATGAACTGTGGGACGGGGCCCTCTTGCCAGGTGATGAGTGCATCCTAGGTGCAGGCTGGTGAGCTCTGCAGGGAGTGGGGAGGTGGGGGACAGGTGAGGGACAGTGTATGCCCCCCAGGAGTTTTTACACGCACCTAAACACTTAATAAGAGAGCTACTCATCTTCCTGTGCCTCACTGTCTGGGGATCTTGGGGAGCAGGCCGGGGATGGCTGGTTTGTTCCCACATGAGGAGGGGGAAGGAGGAGCCCTGTGAACTTGCATCCCAGGTTCTGTCCAGCCTGGGGTCAGCTGGGTCCTTTGGGTGAGTCTCGGAACACCCCAGGAAGTCCTGCCACCACGAGCCCTGTGCAGTTTCGTGCCCCAGATGCCCTACATATTGCTGCTGTTCCCTTCGGGATGTGCTGCTCTGGTCTCCTCCGGACTGATGCCCTGTGTTTAGGAGCCAGGCTGCCCTCCTCCCTCCCAGCCCCGAAACCACCAATTCTGGGGTGTCTCCCCACCTCTTTGCCCGGATGGCTGGTCCCACCCCGCCTGGCCATCCCCTTTCCCGGCCCCCCCACCCTGTCCTGGTCTCCCCATTTCTGTTCTTTCCCCTCCCCCCAGCTCCTGCTGGGAGTGGAGATTGCATTTCAGTTGCCATTTGCATTCCCAATCAATCCGGACTCCGCAATTAAGTCGGCTGGCGGAGCTGGGAGGGAGGCAGCGGCGGGAACGGGTCCTCTGGGGGCTGTCGCCTCCACACTGCTCCCATTCCGCCCCAGATTGCTTCCTGCTCTGCCGTGCACAGCCGTCCAGCCAGGGAGGGAGCAGAACCCTGTGGTTCCTCCACCCCTGGAAGGCGAGGCTGGAGGGGTGGGGGCGGCTGGGCGGCTGGGCAGGTGAGAGGTGGCCAAGGGGCGTGGGCGCTGGTGCAGCACAGCCAGCCGCTTTCTCTCTTACCCACACCCTGGGCTAACGAGTGTCATTAGCGCTGTCTGTCCTCTACTCACCTTCTTCTGCCCAGGGGCCCCCAAGTGAAGAAAGGGGAGAGTTCCGGGTGGAAAGGGCTTCCCTTCTCCCCAGCATCCCTGACCCCTTCTCTGGGAGAGGAGGAGGAGGAGGACGGGGAGGAGGAGGAGGAGGAGGAGGGCCTGGGTAGGTCTGTGCTGGCAAAGTCCTGGAGACCCCGAGTCCATGCCCCCTGTTGGTTGGAGGAAACAGGCACAGAGCCAGACTGGTTTGTTGTATGTTCTGGACCAGCTGGTGGCAGAGAGGGAAGCAGAGCAAGGCATGGTCGCACGTGCCTGTAATCCCAGCACTCAGAGGCTGAGGCAGGGGGAATCTCTGCAAGTTTGAGGCCAGCCTGAGTTACTAGTGAGTTCAAGGCCAGCCCGAACTGCATAGCAAGACTCTGTCTCAAAAAAAAAAAAAATAGAGAGAGAGTAGGGATCAAATGCTGGCATCCTTCCCCAGAGTGGAAGCTGGGTCTCCACCCGTGAAGGCCAGGGCAGGGCTGTGTGAACCGTGGAGGAAGTGAGGGTACCACTCAGAACGGGCGTCCGGAAAGCTCTACCCAGGCTTTTGAGCCTGTGTCCTGAAGGAGTGGGATAACTCCAAGGGTCTCCAGAGCCTGACAGCTGCTTATCCCCAGGGTCCTTGTCCCTGGGAGAGGGAGCAGCTCTCCTGTTTTCGTGGCTCTCAGCTGCACCCTCTGATGGGGACACCATACCCAGAGGCCCCAGATGATTGTGGCTCCGGCACAGACCACGAGACAAGGCCTGGTTGTGTCCCACCCACCAGGTGGTCTGGTGACCGTCCCAGCAACCCCTCTGGTGTTCAGGAGCCCTTTGGAAGATAGGGTGTCCATGCTGATGGGGGACAAGAGCAGGATGGGTCTTCACAGGCCAAGCACATGGCTGTGTCTCCTACATTGGCTTTGTCTTCTTGGGTGGCAGGAGAAGAGGTGAAGGAAGGAGATGGCTAGCAAGGATGGACAGGAAGCATTTGTAGAAAAGCAGGAGCCAGGAAGTAAAGCTGCTCAAGCCACTGGGGTTGAGGGCGCTTCCTTCCCCCTGGCACGACCCCTAGCCAGGAAGGAGAAATCAGTCGGAAATCTTTTGTTTTTCTTTTTTGAGACAGGGTCTCCCTGTATAATTCAGGCTGGCCTCAAACCCCAGGCCACCCGCCTGCTTCAACCTCTGGAGTGCTACGATTACAGGCATGCGCCACCACGCCCACCAAGCCAGTCAGAAATCTTTAATTGGCCTTTTACTAATTTCATACATCAAGGGCTGAGCCTTATTCTGAAGAATTTAGAGGGAAGGTGCAGGCCAGTTCACGGGTGTGTATTACCTGTGTCTGTTTATCACGGGTGCTTTCTCCTTCACTTCTCCACCTCTCCACTCTACCCCGTTCCTAAAGGAGAACCGTTCGGGGCTCCCAGGCTCCGCTTCTACGCTTCTATGTGTGGACAGTGTCACCCTTCTCAGCTGTCCCAGCGATGTTCTTCCTGACCTGTCCCCCTTGTCCCTGGTCTGTGGACCTAACTGTGTCCTTCTTCCCTGTGGAGTTTCCACTTCCAAATCTCCCAGAAATGCTGCCTCTTCCCACCCTTCCTGAGTTGGGGCCACCTGGTGTGCCTCCAACGTGCTCCTGTCCCCAGCCATTTTCCTGTGCTCTCTGTGGTCTCACAGAGATATGAGGGCATCTTTTGGCTCCTGGAGGAGCAGGTTTCTTCCAGGTGTCATGGAGCCAGGGTGGTTGGATCTCCCTGGAGTTCACCTGCCTTTACCATCTGACAGCCACACAGTCTTGAGGGCCATTGGCCCAGCCACCAGCTGGCTTGTGCTTGTCCTCTTATTGGCGAACCTCTATGTTTAAAGAGTGACTTCCTGGCTTCCACAGGAAGTTTGGTGGCCAGGATGACAGACTGGGGCTTCCTGTCCCTAGCCTGAGGATCTAAGGCATTCTTGAGACAGTTCAGGGACAATGCCACAGGAGTGGAATGCCAGGCCCTGCAGAAACCTCTGCTGCCCCATCCTGCCCCTCCTGGAGCCCAGGTGGGAGCAGCAGGCTGGGGACATTCAGTCCTTGCACCTGTTGTTCATGTGGCTTTGCCTGCAAGGTAGAAGAGATGCCCTCGCCCAGGACAGTGGCTGCTCCATGGTGGGTGGTCAGGGATGGCAGGTTTCCCCAGTGACACTGCGGGCTGTTCCTGGTCTCTGATGGAATCTCTGTTCCCAGGGGATCTTGCTGAAGCGGAGCGGCAAGTCTCTGAACAAGGAGTGGAAAAAGAAGTACGTGACGCTGTGTGACAACGGGCTGCTCACCTACCACCCCAGCCTGCATGTGAGTCCAGGGAACTAAGCCGGGGGCAGGGGCTGGGGCTGGGTGGGGGTCACAGTGAGCACCCTGGGGTGGTCTCAGATGGGTTTTCCCTGGAGCAAGCACTGTACTATGGTGGCTCAGGAAGGGCCAAAGACACAGGTCTTGCAGGGCCTCCAGAAGACGATGCCCACCACGGCTGCCCCTCAGCCAGCCCCTGCCCTCCTTGGGCAGCCATGGCAGTGGTTTGAAAGGCAAGACTCACCCTGCAGCCTGGGTGCCCATGTCCCAGGGCTGAGCCATGCCAGTGGCAAACAAGGTGGCCACAGGAGCCAGGCTGTTGACCATGGCCCAGGGCTTTGGGCAGGTTCTTGAGGGAGGAGGAGAGCGGGGGCATTGTCGGTGGGCAGAGGGGTCTGCGGTGCACTCGGCCTGTGCCCCTCTTCGGGGGTGTGGCTGCGGCAGGGACCGTTATGTAGCCCCTGTGGCAGCTCCCCTACCCTTCCCTCCTCCCTTCCCTGCACTGCGTGGCTCCAGCACACAGCTGTCACCAGAATCCATCTCTGTCACCACCCCACTGCGGGGCTAATGAGTTCTCCCGTGAAGGCCCTCAAGCACAGCACGTGAGCCAGCCCAGCCCCGCCCAGAGGCAGACCCTCCGAGGGACCCTGGCCACCCAAGAAGCCCCACGGGGTGTCAGGGGGCCCAGCCGGAGCTGGGGCCACATGTCCCCGCTATGACTGGGTCTGGAGAGCACCATCCAGGTGGCCCTGAGCACACAGAGGTGACCTGTGTGGGGAGAGCTGGCCTTGGGGTGGCCTTATCCACCCAAGCCCAGCCTGCCACCCCCTGCCAGTCTCCTCATCCAATTCCTTGGGGCACTGACCTTTCTGCTTAGCCTAGGGGACGAGGTCATTCCTCCTAATAGCTTCACTCTCCAGAGTAGGACCTGGACCAGGATGACAGGAGGCAGTTGTACCTGGGGAGGTGAGAGGGGACCACATCTATTCTTCCTCACACAGTCCTGGTCCTTCTCCCAAGTCCCTGAGAGACACCAAGAGAGCCAGGCATGGTAGCACATACCTGTAATCTCAGCACTTGGGAGGCTGAGGCAGGAGGATTACTATGAGCTTGAGCCCAGCTTGTTCTACATAGAGAAACCCTGCCTCCGAAAAAGAAAAACGAAAAGAAAGAAAAGGAAGACCACGCGGTGGCAAGGATAGTGCTGACAACAGAGCCAAGAGTGTCTGAGGCAGTCAGAAGGCCCTCCGCAGGCACCGGGATTCACCGCCTGCCTTGTGGCAGCCACACACCTAGGGGAGGCCTGGGGGGCTGGCCCTGGAGACTGTAGGTCCCCAGTGTTCTCAGAGAGAGGGTCGTGCTGTCACAGGCAGGAGGTCCCAGGTCATGCTGAGGCCCAGAGCCCTTGCCTTGCCCACAGTGCTGTCCTAGCTTCTATCCAGCGGGAGTGTCGGGCCTGGCTCTAGGGGCATCTGTGAGGTGCACAAGTCATGGTGTTTGCACGGGTTCTGTTTGGAACAGGAAGCCACACCATCTGGTGGGAGAGTGGAGGTTTGGGAGGTTTGTGGCTTGTCAGTGACCCTGCCAGTGGCCAAGCTGATGCTGGGACCTGAAACTGACTCTCAGCATGGCCTGGGTCTTCTTGCACTTGCCAAGAGCTCCTCCGTTTGGGGCTGCTGAGCCAGGCCGAGTGGGTCCACAGGCATCCCTCCCGTGGCACTTGTCGCACTGGGCGCTTTGGGGGCCTGTGACAGGACCTGGTGGGGGGCTTGCAGGCCCACCCTCATCTCCCTGCAGAGTGAGCTCTGATACAGAGGCCTGATGATGGCCCAGCGCCCTGTGTCCTGGCCAGCTGGCCCCCCGTGGTCTCCAAGAAGAGAGCTGCATGGCTGGCTCCTCTGAGCAGCAGTGCCCCACCTGCCCATAGCAGTTCTTCCCGAGGAGGCACGGGCACTTTGGAGGCCTCCCCTGCCCCAGAGATGTTCCCACCTCATCCCTTCTCTTCCAGTGTGAAGCCGAGGTGCTGACATTGGCACAAGCAAGGGCAGAACCAGGGCTGCACCAGGCAGCCACACTTGGGCTCTGCTCAGTTCTAGGCTTGCTTCTTAGGGCAGCCTCTGCTTTCCCTCTTTGGCTTCGCACCTCACCTGCTGGCCTTTTCCTCCTTCATCTCCCCTCAACTGCCTTTTCCAACTGCAGCAACTTTTCATAGGCAGCAGTGGCAGGGCAGCCTCCATACCTAGAAGCAGCAGCCTTCCCAAAGCCTTCCAACCCCACATACTCAGGGCTTCCGGTGAGCCGGAGGCTCGGGTGGGAACCTGGCCAGCACTCGGGGGCCGGGTCTCCCCCAGATCCTGATGATGTGGGCCGGGCTGAGCCCACAGAGTCTGAGCTAGTGGGCAGCCCTCACGCTTTGCACCCGGATCTTGCCTGGCCCAAGAGAGCCCGCCACAGCCTCCCCCATTTTGCAGCCCGCGCGGAGCCATTCACACAATCACCTTCTGTTAATTCTATCTGCAACATCAATTAAATTGTTTGTAGAAACTAATTGAATGTGGCTTAATCACACATCTTAATAGCTTTCCACGCTCTGAACTCGTTGTTAATTCCAGTAATAAAACGAGATGAGAACGCTGGCTGGGTAATTAGCGAGGAGGCTGGGGAAGAAATTGCCGTTTGATGGTGGATAATAAAGGCAGCCGTGGTGACCGCTCTCCTGAGCAGCCGCTGCCACTGCCGCCGCGCTCCCCATTCTGCTGACGGAGGGAAACGCTGTTGCTCCTCGCCTGAGGTCCCCATCCCTGCTGCTGCTCCTCCGGCTCTGTCACTGAGCTGTCCTACAGGCCTGGGCTCCAGCACACAGCTTTGAGAGCTGCACTTCGGCCTGAGTGGTGCACAGCAGCCTGCACTGCGGTCTGGTGCTGGAACTGGGTGGGCCTTTGCCTACAGCACAGAGTCCCTTTGTGTGGCTCTTGTTCTTGGCATAGGGTCAGCTTCTGCCACTGGCTAGCCTGGGCATCCCAGGGCTCGAGTGGGGCCTGAAAACTGTTGCCGCCATCGTGACCTCCTTGTGAACTGGAGCGGCCCAGACTCTTCCTCCAGGAGAGGGACCGCATCTGGGCCTTTGGCCCTGCCAGCTGTTGACAGTTGTCGGGAGCAGCTGATCCAAGATGTAATTGTGTGCAGGGATGGGATGAGGAGTGGGGATCAGAGATCAGTATGTACGGAGACTGAGGCTCAGTGTACATGGGGATGAGGGACAGGAATGTGAAGAAGCCAAGCCTTTGGGGTGAAAGTGGGGAGTGGGGGTGTGAGGTAAGGCTGTAAAGCCACATTGTGGTCACTGGGCTGAAAGCTGCACCACAGGGTAGTAGGACCAGCAGGGTGATGCTCAGCTGGCTGGAGAAAGATCAGATGGGCTGTTGGAGAGTGACAAGGGACCTCTGGTTGTGTTGCTGCCCAGCCACCTTGGTGAGGTCCAGAGTCAGGGCAAGAGCCCTGGCAGTGCCCAGCAGCTGGTGGGCCAAGCCCTGGCCAAGGGCCCTGCCTTGGGTGGGAGACCCCGCTCCTTGTTTCTCAGAGTGGTGTTTGTGGGTCTGAACGAGTGTGCCCAAGCCCCCCCCCCCATCCTCCCAGGGGTGGGCTGGCGGCCGGAGGGTACAGTCCTAGAGCTGCGTCCGGGAGTGGGGGCCCCTCCTGGGACAGCTCCTGGAAGCAGCTCCCATTTCTGTGGAGCTCAAAGGGTGAGAGCATGGTGCATGCCTGTAATCCCAGTACTTTAGGAGGCAGAGGCAGGAGGATTTGAAAGTTTGTGGCCAGTCTGGGCAACTTAGCATGACTCTGTCTCAAAATAAAAAAATAACTGAAAGTGCTGAGGATGTAGCTCCATGCTCGATGGGATCAATTCCCAGTACTGTTAAAAAACAAAAATAAAACAGACTGGAGAAGTAGCTCAGTGGCACCGTGCCTGCCTGGCAAGAGCAAGGTCCTTAGTTTGATCCCTGGTACCGGGAAAAAAAAAAATCTCCCTGAGGTTGTTGGGAAGATCCTGTAGGGTGGTATAAGAGACTAACACGTATAAAATACACCGCTGTGGTGCAGTAAACCCAGGATACGATGGGCTGGTGGTGAGCTGACACCCCGATCCCCAGATAGAGAAGCTGGGTGTATGTGAAGCATGGACCTGTCACTGTACTCCTAAGTCCAGCCAAAAGAATTAAAGGCTGCCTTTTAAACTGTTCAGCAGATACGTGTGACCAGGTCCCATGTAAAGGCTGGAGACTAGCTGGCGTTAAATGCTCCCGGTGTCCAGGTTGGGGTGGGAGCTGATGAGGCAACATGGGTGTCTGAGTTTGGCAGTTTCCTCCTCAGCCACATGGGGGCTCTCTCCCTAAACCCCATCTCCATCCAGTGCCTGGCCTCCTGTGGATCCCAAGCCTCAGGTCCTTCCATCTCCTGGATTCCTGCCACGTCCCCTGGAGCTCCCTTGGGCAACATGGAGATCTGGGTGTGGTCCAGACCTAGTGACTTCTGGGGGCTGCGGAGCTTGAAGCTCTGCCCCACTCACCCACACACACCCCAGGTAGCACCACAGGGAGGCACGGAGGAGCCGGGGTTGCCTGTCCTAACGCGTCTGTGTCTGTCTTATCCATATGGCCTTCAGGATTACATGCAGAACATCCATGGCAAGGAGATCGATCTGCTGCGGACGACAGTGAAGGTACCAGGGAAGCGTCTACCCCGAGCCACACCGGCCACAGCCCCAGGCACCAGCCCAAGAGCCAACGGGCTGCCCTTGGAGCGGAGCAACACGCAACTGGGTGGGGGCCCAGGTGAGGTGGGGAATGATGGTGGTGGGGGCATCCGGGCTGCCAACAGCCAGCGCTGCTCCAGGGTAACTTCAGCCTCAGGCAGGGGCCAAGTGCAGCTGCGTGAGGTCACCTTGGCTGTTGGGTGGGGCAGGGAGCGCAGGTCTGGGGAGTGGGGCCAGCAGTCTGAGGGCCACTTCTGCATCAGAGCTGAGGAAGGCCATTGTCTCAGCTTGCTGTGTAGGGCAGGGAAGGGACAGAGCTTTGGGGGCTACCCGGGCAACATCCGTAGGTGTACAGTGAGAGCCGCAGTCCCCTCACAGAGACCAAGTTAGAGAGGGCAGGAGGTGCTGCTGAGTGTCCAGCTGCCGGAGTGGTTGTCAGGGGCTGGGGGACTGTGGTTGTGGCAGGTACCCCCATGCCTGCTGTGTCCTTGCTGTTGGTGTGACCATGTGGGCTCAGTGAAAGGTCCCAGCCCTGGGCTCCCTCTTCCTCCCCAGGCTTCTGCTCCTAGGCCCCTGCCCTTCTGGCTCCGTCCTTCCCACAGCCTGTCCCATGGCCCCTTCTTCCCCAGACCTCAGTGTCCCCCATATTGTCCTTGACCATGGAATCTCATTTTCCTTGGGCCCAGAAACTGCTCCTCGGGACACTGCCTGCCCTGCTGGTGCTGCCCCACGCCCTCCCCGAGAGGTCAGCTTCTAGCAGTAGAGGTTCTCAGCTTGAACGTGCCACCTTCCTTAGGGGCATGTGGAGACGCTGGGGTGTTCTGCTTGTTACAGTGACAGGAGGGTACTAGGGCGGGGGGACAGAGTGAACAGAGGCTGGGAATATTAAGCCTCCTGAAGTGGGCAGGATGGACCCCCAACAGTGGTATGCCCACAGGAAGCGCTGGTGGGTCTGGCACTGCGAAAGCCCAGCGAGGAGGCAGGGGAGGTGCCAGCCCCCAAGTATAGCTCTTGATTGAGGGGCGGCTCCTTGGTGTGATCGGCCCACTCTTAGGTGGCCATGTGCAGAGGCCAGGCAGGACCCAAGCTGTGCCAGGGTAGTACTCATCTCCACATGAGGCCCCAGGACCACGTCAGCACTGTGAAGTCAAGGTTCTTGTGCCTGTTTTCGTGAAAAACAAAGGCTCCCAGAGGCTCAGTAACCTGTCTGTAAAACCCCACAAGACGTGGGGGAGCTGGGGTTGGAACCCAGGCATTTCAGATGTGAGAAGCTCTGGTCCTTCCTCTAAGCACACTGCGCTTGAGACAAGGAAGCCTTGGCCCTTGCAGAGGGAGAGCCTGGTGGGAAGGAAGTGGGAGGAAGGAAGCTGGGAGAAGATGGTGCAGCCACCAGGGTATTGCACCCGGAGCCTGGGGGCTGCAGTCCTGGTGCTGAGCCACAGGGAGTCTCCAGAGCCCGGCTGGTGGGCACGGAGTTTCATACCGATAGCAGAGAGGGGGAGCGAGGAGTGGACTCTGGAAGGGGGCCTCCTTTCCTTGATTGCTGGTAGCAAGAGAAGACTTGGGCTGTTTCCCCAAAGAGGGTGGGAAGCAAGATGGCTCTGTTCCGTCCCATTCCTGGACCCCGATGTCCTTCACCCGGGCAGCCAACCTGGGGTGGTGGTGGGCACGCTGGCTGCCTCAAGCCTGGCACCCACACAGGAGCCCACGGCCAGTGCTTCCCAAGCCTGGCTCCCGCTGCTACGCACTGACACCGACCCTCATGCACACTCACACATGTCTCTCGCTCACCGGGCGATGTTAACATCTCATTATCTTTGTTACTGTAATTACATTATCCGCTGCTTTATGCAGAATTATCCTCGGAGGACTAATTGATGGCTCCATGTTTAATTCATTAATCATTAGCATCAAATTCGACAATTACAGTGCACACTGATTGTGGGATTGCAGGCGTAATGAGGGGAGAATTAACAAAGAAAAGGGAAAGCACTTTCCCTCCCTCAGGGTTCTGGGATGGGGGGCTTGGGAAGGAAGTTGTGCCTGTGATGTTTTTGGTTGGGGCCCAGGGTGGGGCCGGGGGTACCAATGGGAACTGGGAGGGGATGCAAGCAAAAGAGCATGGAGAGAAGTAGGGGCCCTGGAAGGTGTCAAGAGGAGGAGAGAGGGGCTCGGCCTGGGGGACCCTGCAGCCCCGAGGAAGGGCCGGGCAGGGCTCTGTGGCGCTGGAGTCTGGAGACAGTCCATCGTCTTGGCACCACACTTGGATTCCCACGCACCTGCAGTGTGTCTAGTCCTGTTTGGAAAAATGCGGGAGAACTGTAAAACTTGCCTCTGCTCTTAAGCATGGTGTTTTCCCTGGATCATTGGGGCATCTGTCCTGCTGTCCCCATCCAGCTGCTTCGGCTCAGCAGCCTGTCCACAGGCTTCCAGGACTCGCTCTGGGCTGGTGGGTGCTGGGGCCTCACCTTGTACCTTTCCCAGGCTTGGCCAGGCCTTCGCTGCCTTCCTGCTAAGACTGTACCTGGCCAGCGCCTTGGCGTCTTTTAGACAGCTTGAACTTGGGCTTGGACCACCTGTTCCTAGACCCTTGTGGCCACTTCCTCCTGGCTTCCGTTGCCACCCTTGATCTTGGGGGTACCGAGGAAGAAAGGGAAGCCTGGGCTCACAGTGTACCACTCAGCCCTTTAATTGTCACAGGCCTGTGAGGCTCATGCTGTGACAGGATTGCTGCAGTGGGGACGGTCAGCACGGGACAGGGACTGAGGCTGGGGGACGTCCTGTCCTGCCTGCTCTGGTGCTGGCCAGTCCTGCCCAACCCTGGCACTCCTAGAGCAGCCTTTGGTTCCCCTTGCCTCCGCCATCCTTCCCTGATGGGAAACGAAAGATTAATTTTCTCCAGCCCAACAGGATAATTACTAATACTAATTAGACATAATTACTTGAATTTGATACACTTATTTCTCGTCAGAATGGCAGCAAAGCTGAGGCAGACCGAATGACACATGTGGACCGGAATGTAGGCTGCCTGGCCTCAGCCAGGAACAGAGGCGTTCAGGCCCTAGGTCCTAGCACTTGGCCATGCCAGGAGCACCCGGGAAATCTTGCAGTGGCCCACACCCCAGCCAGCTCCTGATATCAGGGCAGGGACAGGCCTATGGCCCTCTGTGTAGGGAGGGAGAGGAGGGTAGGAAGGTCTAGGCAGGGCTGCTTCTGGAGGCCTGGAAGGGTGCAAGGCCTCTGGCTCCCCAGGAAACCTGGTCCCCACTGGGTGAACCCCACGTTCTGCTTATGTCCAGACATGACCCTTCTGGAGCAGCCCTGATCTCAGGACAGTGTTGAGGGGGGTCCTTCTGCCTCAGCCTCCCCACGCCCACACAGGCCATATTTCTGGACAGCCCCCCAGTGGACTCTCCTCCTGGGTCTGACCCTCCCCCCACCACCCCGCCAGGTGCCCCCCACTCGGCCAGCAGCGCTTCCCTGCACTCCGAGCGCACCCTCAGCAGCTCGGCCTGGGCAGGCCCACGCCCTGAGGGGCTGCACCAGCGCTCTTGCTCCGTCTCCAGCGCCGACCAGTGGAGCATGCAGCACCCCGGTGAGTGGGCGCTCTCCCACCACTGCCTCTGTCCTGCCCGCGGCCACCAAGCCGGCTTCTGGCCATTTCCCTTCTCGTCCCCCTTCTCGCAGGCCTTTGCTGGAGGCCCGCCTTCTGCGGTTCCTCCTCCCTGGTCCCCAGGCAGCACCGGTGGCGGTGGCGCTCTGCATCCCCATCAGCCCCCTGCGCCGTCAGCTCATCAGCCTCTCGGCAGGGAACGGGGATGCGGCTGAGCGGGGAGGTCGGAGGCTGGGGGCGATGCTGCAAAGCAGCCCTAGCCGTAGCCTGCCTTGGAGAGGGGTCCCGGAAAGGCCCTTTCCCGTGCGCTGCTTCTGCAGAGAAGCCTGCCCTGCCAAGGAGGACGGTCAGAGGCCGCCTCCCTTCCTCCCTTCCGTCCATCCCTCTGCTTGCTTTTCTGGGCTCTTCGTCTTCCCCCCATCTCCTCCCTGGCATTTCTCTCTTCCACTCAACCTCCCTCACCCCCCGTCCTGACCTTTGGCCACTGATCCTGCGGCAGTTCTGAAGGCTGAAAAGGAACTGGGGCCAGCTCCCCTCTCCTGTCTCATCCCCTAGTGGCAAGCGAAGGTGCAGAGACTGGGAGGTGACCCTTGGTGTCCCCTGACCCTGGTAAACAGGAAATGGGCAGTGGTACAGACAGACCTGCCCCCTACCGTGGCCCCAGCTCCCTCCCAGGGGTGCATGGAGGTCCAGGCCAAGCCCAGGAGCCCCTCACAGCACTGCCAGTATATCTGTCCCACCCAGTCCAAGTCCAGTCCCACCCTGGGGGCACAAAGCACAGAGCCAGGAGTCCTTCTGTGGGGTGCCCAGCCTGCCCTGGCCTCCTTGAGCCCCTCTGTTGAGTCTGGAAGGAGGAAGGCAGGGAGGGAGGGAGCGTGTCTGCCTCTAATGAAGTTTGACATTTAGTGGTGAGCGCAGGGCGGGGTGTGGGAGCCGGAGCTTGATTAGCGTGCTCTAATTGACAGTAATTAGGCAGCTCCCTGATTGTTTCTAATTCTGCTATTAATTGTGAGGAGCGGGGAGTGTGATTGAGGATAAATTTGGTGCGGAGCTGCTGGGGCTTCGGCTCCCCGTGAGCTGCCTGGGCCTCCTTCCACCCCTCCAAGCTGCGAGGGACCCGTTCCCCACTCCCTCTCCCTCCTCTCCCTCCGCTCTTTCCTCCTCCAAGACACAGGGAGCTTGGGACTGGGAGGCCAGGACGCCGGCCCCTCCAGGGCAGCCCAGCCACAGTGAGCAGGCCTGGCCCTCTCCGTGCCCTGCGCCCGCCTCGCCTCCCCTCTTCCCACACCTCTCCGCCTCTCCCCTCCCCAGCGGGTGGCACGGCTGACGTGCTCAGTTCCAGCCCCAAGCTGGAACCTCCCCCATCTCCCCACTCCAACCGGAAGAAGCACCGTTGGAAAAAGAGCGCCGGGAACCCCCGACCAGACGGCCCCAGCAGTGCTGCCGAAGGTTAGGGGGACCCAGAGGGCAAGCGGGCACAGGAGGTGGGCAGCGGGACCTGGGCACAGCACCCTTGTTTCTGATAGGTGGATGAAACACTTCTAGGAATCATTTCATAAAACGAACTCCATGACACAAACCTCCTTCTGTAATTCAGACCCAGTATCTCAGAAAAGTTCTGCTTCCTTTCTGTTCAGCTGTGAGCTTGCGTCTGTCCTTCTTAGTCGGGCACGGTGGGTTGCTGCCATAGCTCCTCCAAGACTGGCCAGCAGGACCTGTGTTCTGTGTCTCTTGTGTCACCCCAGGAGTTTGTGAGTGCTGGGGACATCATAGGTGCTTTACACGTGCGTGGGCCAGCTGAGTCACTCCATCTCTGGTGAGCGGAAGCGCTCCAGGCCCTTCACTGTTCCCCTTAGACCTGCCTCAGAGCCTCAACAATTATAGCCTGACCCTGTGCTACCCAGAGCCTCCCTCTTCTTAGTGATGGGAGTCTCTTGGCTCCCAAATAAGGTTAACGTGGTAGATTCATCATTTCTCCTTTCTGCTGTGACAGTAGGGGCAGCGATGTGGCTCAGACGGGTAGAGAACAGCTTTTCTGGCCAACCTGTGACACACTGATGCCTAGGCATCCTGGCATAGGCATCACTGTGGTCCAGGGAGCCAGGGCCCACGAATGATGGAGGGGCATGTGTGGTTCGGAGGCTGGGGTGAAGCAGGGTGAGTGTGAGCCTGGCACCTGGGGAGGGCAGTGGTGCCAGCTTTGTGCATGCAAGTTCTGTTAAGGATCCTGAGGGCAGGAGCCCAGCACAGGAGGACTTCCAGGGCTGTTACTGTTGCAGAGGTGAGAAGCTGCAGGCAGAGGCACAGTGAGGATTTACAAGCAGAGGTGGCCCGGTAGAATACGATGCACACCCAGGCTCCCACGAAGGTGCCTGGGTACCTTTCTAGTTGCCTTTTAGAGGTGGTCCACCCCTGGGACAGGGTCACTGGGGCTACGATTTGTGTCACTGTCTTTGGGGCCTGAGGGAGCAGAGCTTGGAACAGCTTTGTCACTACAGATGTCTGCAGGTCCCTATTGGCTTGCAGGCCCCGGTTCCTGAAGCAAACGTCTCCTTCTCACCCCCACCCACTTGCCCTTCCTGCCTGCTATGCCAGGGCAGTGGAGGAGGGGCCCGGCTCCCAGGAGCCCCACGCTGACGCCGTCAGGAATATTGGGTTTAATGAGCTGCAAAATGAGGCGGCTGCAGCTGACATGTTCGGATGGTGCCCACACCCGCCTCCCCTCCCAGCCCCCTTCCAGCGCCCTGACGCATCCTTTGCCAGACCCACTGCTCTTCCTTCTCCTGGAAACCCCCTCGCTGGGGTCCGGACCCTGCCTGACAGTGCCAGGGACGCCAAGACCTCATACTCCCCACTTGGCCCAGGCTCCACAGGTGGTTAGGAATGGAGGCTCAAGGGCTTATGCTAGTCACTGCCTCCCCGCTGCCCAGTTGTCCGGGACAGCATGGCCCTGGGGCCCAGGTGGGCACACTTGGGAGGGAGCTGTGTGCTCCCAGATGAGCGTGCCCACCCCCAGCCCTGATGGCGTCATTCCCCCCCCAGAGGCAGAGGAGTCCTTCGAGTTCGTGGTGGTGTCCCTCACCGGGCAGACGTGGCACTTCGAGGCCTCGACGGCGGAGGAGCGGGAACTGTGGGTGCAGAGCGTGCAGGCCCAGATCCTCGCCAGCCTGCAGGGCTGCCGTAGCGCCAAAGACAAGGTTGGCACAGGGTGGCCAGGCCTGCCTGAGGCACTAACTGGGGGCAGCCAGAGGGGCCTGTGACTGACCACAGCCTTTGTCCCTGCTGTATGGCAGGCCCGCTTGGGGAATCAGAATGCAGCTCTGGCCGTGCAGGCTGTCCGAACCGTGCGCGGCAACAGCTTCTGTATCGACTGTGATGCCCCCAGTGAGTACCAGGCCGGTGCACTGGGCCCTGGGCCCTGAGAGGGCTTTGCATGCTTGCAGGGCAGGGAGGAGGCCTTCCTGGCTGTCCCCCTCCCAGCTGCCTGCTCGTCCCCTTCTCCGCCCTCTCTCCACCTAGATCCCGATTGGGCCAGCCTGAACCTGGGTGCCCTAATGTGTATCGAGTGCTCGGGGATCCACCGCCACCTGGGGGCTCACCTGTCCCGGGTCCGCTCCCTGGACCTGGACGACTGGCCACCCGAGCTGCTGGGCGTGATGACAGCCATGGGCAATGCCCTGGCCAACAGTGTCTGGGAAGGGGCTGTGGATGGCTATGCAAAGCCGGGGCCTGAAGCCTGCAGGTGAGCCACTGGGGCCAGGGAGGAGGGAGGGGACAGCCGGGACGGTGTCAGAAGGGTTAAAGTGTCCGTTGCTCTGCTTGGCGGTTGGCCTCTAGGGTGTCCCTCCCCCTCCGGTGCCTGTCACTCAGGCGCCTTGCAACAACAGGCCTTTTCTGAGCCGTTATCAGCAGGTCAGGGGGCCACTGCCAGGCGCATGCGCAGGGCCCTATCACTGGTCCGTGTGAGGCCCCAGCCTGCACTGTGAGATGGGGAGAATGGGTGGAAGATAGGGTCGCCGTGGCCCCCGCCCAGGCCCCCACCTGCTTTGTCCCGGTGCTGCCAATCGGAGGGAGTTCAGACGGCCAGATAACCCGCCACTCGGGCTGCCTGGAGTCTTCCTGCCCTGGTGGCCCCCACGTCCTGACGGTCCCCAGGGTTCTCCTTTTCCATGCCCCCGCTTTTCTCTTCCACCGTCCTCTTTATCCTACCCGAGACCCCTCTGAATGCCCCGCTGTCTCTTGGGCTTCTCCCTTCTCATGCATCCTCCTGCTGGTTCTCCTGCTCCCAAGCACCTCCCTGGCCTGTTGTGGCCCTCGTGGCTTCCTGGGCTCACACCTCAACCCACCTGTGCTTGCAGAGAGGAGAAGGAGCGCTGGATCCGGGCCAAGTACGAGCAGAAGCTCTTCCTGGCCCCACTGCCCAGCTCGGATGTGCCGCTGGGGCAGCAGCTGCTCCGGGCCGTGGTGGAGGACGACCTGCGGCTGCTGGTGATGCTGCTGGCCCACGGGTCCAAGGAGGAGGTGAACGAGACCTACGGCGACGGCGATGGGCGGACGGCCCTGCACCTGTCCAGCGCCATGGCCAATGTGGTCTTCACACAGCTGCTCATCTGGGTGAGTCGAGGGTGCCTCTGCCCCGCCCAGCCTCCTCCCTCCTCTCCCAGGACTGGCACCTCTGTGTCCACACCCTGCCAACCGTGCCCACGTGCTCTCTCCCACAGTACGGCGTGGATGTGAGGAGCCGGGATGCGCGGGGCCTGACTCCGCTGGCCTACGCCCGCCGCGCTGGCAGCCAGGAGTGCGCGGACATCTTGATCCAGCACGGCTGCCCTGGGGAGGGCTGCGGCCTGGCACCCACACCCAGCAGAGAGCCCGCCAACGGCCCCAGTACCTCTGCCGAGCTGCACCGCAGCCCCAGCCTCCTATGAGGTCCAGGAAGCGAGCAAAGGGCCCGAAGGACTCCGTGGCCTAGGACCCACCTCCCTGCAGGTGCTGGGGGAGGCAGAGGCACAGAGACGAGAAGCAAGGACATGCACAGAAGGGAGAGAGTCAGAGGGAGCCAAGCAGAGGTCTGAGTTCACGCCACTGCAGACAGGGAGGGTGGCATTCAGCCCTCAGCACTTCGGTGCCATTGAGAAGGGACAGGACATTTTGGAGGCGCCCGGGAGGAGAGGGGGGCAGGACCTCTCCCTCCTCCAGACCCCCGCCTCCTCGGGCCAGCCCTGCCAGCCTTCACCCTGAGGTGGGGAAGGGCTGGGCACAGGATGGGGGTGCTGGATGAAAGAGACCAGGGCCCAGCAGGGGTCGGGGTCCCGTGTAAAATCTGTATATTGGAATATTTATGTTTGTGTACAGACTTGGTGTGTGTGTGATGAGCCAATAAAGCAGACTGCGTGTGGCCTTGTGTCCCCTCCGTCCTCTGTACCCCTGCCTCTTCCTGTCTCCTCAGACCCTCCCATCTCTCCATGAGCCTGGGTCCTGGGTGTCTTCCCTCCCCTTCATTCTGACCTTTTTTTTTTTTTTTTTTCTTACTGGTTTTTTGAGAAAAGGTCTCTCCATGTAGTCCAGGCTGACTTCAAACTTACCATGTAGCCCAAGCTGGCCTCAAACTTGTGGTGAGCCTCCTGCCTCAGCCTCCCAGGTGCTGGGATTACAGGTGTGCATCACCATGCCCAGCTTTGCAGTCCGTGGCAGGGTGGTGTTCAGGTTCTCTGCACCGCAGCACTGTGAACCTGATGGTGGGGATGGAGCTCCCTGCGCCTTACTGGGTCCTGTCTCCCTGGCTTGTTCCCTCACCGCCAGAAAGCTTCCTGGTTGTCAGCAGTGTCATCCCTGGGAGCCTCTGGCCACACTGTGTGGTGGGCAAAGTGCACTCAAGAGAGGGGACAAGTGTCACCCTCCCAGGTCTGGGAGGAGCCCACATGGCTGGACATGTGGGGAGAGGCGCTCAGCACACAGCAGAACAACTTGGACGCAGACCTAGGCTGTGCTTGTGCAGAGAGGGCACTGGTGGTGGAAGAGCCACCTGACTCCTACAGCATCTCTGGGCAGGACCCAGAGCCCCACTTTCCTTCCTTTCCATGCCCCTTGGTTATTCATGGAAGACCTGGGGACCCCTCTGTCCTGGCTCCTGAAGGACGAGACCTTGCCAAGATTGGGTCCTGGCTGCTCTGTCAACCCCACCCTTGGGGCCACTTTGCTGGTGGCCAAGTTCTGCAACCCCTGGGCTACATGGTGGGTGTGGTAGGTGGTGCTCTGGGTGGGACCTGCTTACATGTAGGTAAATAACCAAGGAACACTGTTCAGAGAGGAAACGGATTTTATTTGTCCACGTCCTCTTGCAAGGCTATGAAGAGCAAAGATGGGCCACAGGTGTGCAGGACTCGGCTCCTGGACTTGGGAACACCAGCAATGATCGCCTCAAGTCTCCTAAAGGCCAGCTGCCTGGGCTGCTGAGTCCTTCGGGCCCAGGTTAGGCAGCTGCATGGGACACACACAGCCACAGAGCCTCTGGTCCAGCCTTGCTGAAGGGAGGACTGTCTGTCATCATCAGCCTCTGCCTGGCTCATCCAAAAAGCGCCTGACCCTGTAGGTGTTGTGTGCAGGACCAGGCTGGGGTCAGGACAGCTGAACTCCCAAGCCCTGCTGAAATGTAGCCGAGGACCAGAAGCAGCCTCCCCTGGACCTGTGACCTTCGCTGGAAGGCTGTGACATCCCTGTTGCTGGCCAGTCACCACTATGGGCTGCTGTGGTGGGGTGCCCATTACCAGCTGGGAGGAGTGAAGGCCAGGGAGAGGTGATCGCAGTGTCACCACCTGCTTGAGTGGATGAGACACTGGCTAGTTTCGCCCTGGGGACTGGGAGTAGCCAGAAGTTGGCCTGTGGTGAGGAGGCTGGCCAGTTACTTGACCCTTGGACCCTGACCTTAGTGCCTTCCTGGGATTCCCTGCCACCTCCATAGCCTGCCTGTTTTCTCAGTGGCCCTGTTCCCCACTCCAGCTTCCCTCTCTAATGAGTACAGGTCCTGTTCCCTCCCGAGAGGCCCTGCCACCATGATAGCAGCCGCAGTGGGTTTCTGTGACAGTCCCCACCACCTGCTGTCTGCAGCTGTATCCTCAGAGCCCTGCTCCAGGGGTCGACTTTGTCCACTAACACAGTTGCTTAATTTGCCAACAGTTCTGATCCCAAACCTCCTATCTGGCTCCTATCTCTGTGGTCTTCCCTGCCGTGCACACCTTTTCACAACCATAAGCTGTGGCCCTCTGAATACACTTGTTCTATAACAGAAGACACTGTGGAAGCTGAGCTTCTGAAGCAGTGTAGTGGGGAGGAGAGAGCCAATTAACACTGAGGGGATGAAAGCTCTTTTTTAAGGAGCTCACAGTGGGCCCAGGGAGCCATGACCCTGTCCCACCACTGAGAGGACAGGTAACATAACCACAACTAAATGAGGGTCACAGATTTAATTTCCCTTTAATTTAATACCAGTGGGAGTGAGTCTCACCCTAGAGCCGGCTGCCACTCCCAAGGGAAGGCAGAACCGGTAGAATAAGCGAGCCTGTTTACCGGGGACAGGACAGAGTCGCTGGGTCGGAGCTCAGGGAAGAGGTGTGAGTGGAAACATGGAAGCTGAATGACTTCCACAGACTGCACATTTTTGTACCAGAGAGGCCAGTCAGTGCCCACCCCAGAGCAAGAGGATGGAAAGAGCTCTGGCGGAGGATGGAGGAAACAGATTTTTCCTGGTCCCTCTGAGAGGTGCAGACAGACAGATGGACAGAGACCGATGGCTCCATATATACAAACTTTACACAAAATAAATAAGGAGCTGTGCTCCGCCTGGCTGGAATTACCCTGAACTCCTACTTGCCAGAAGCTTTTCGGGGCATCAGTCAGAGACCTTCAGGCCCCAGAGGCTCTGTGACCCCACCCTCGCCCACCCCAGGAGTCCACCATGGTTCCCAGGGCTCTGGCCACCAGAACCCAAGCCCCTGTACCGGAAGCCCCAGTCCTGGGGATCTCTGGAACAGTCTGGGGCCAACCACCCACATCTTCAGCCTGGCAGTGGTAGGGGCACAGCTGGCCTCTCTGGGCTCAGAGTCCGCCTTGGCCCCTTGGTCCCCGAACCCAGCGAGTCGGGAACTGGTCCTCCACGCTGCATTCCCCGGGCATCAGGGCCGGGCCCCCTGCTCCATCTGTTGGTGCTGGCTGCGCACAGCAAAGCGGTTGACGTGCACAGGTATGGGCACAACTATCTTGGGGTTCCTCACAGGCTCCCCGGAGCGGCTGCTCACATTGCCGGCCTTGATGCGCTTCCACTTGGCCCGGCGGTTCTGGAACCAGATCTTGACCTGCACCTCACTGAGCTTGAGGGCGTGGGCGATCTGGGAGCGCTCGGTCAGGCTCAGGTACTTCTTGCAGTGAAATTCCTTCTCCAACTCCAGGAGCTGCTCACTGGTGAAGGCCGTGCGACGCCTCCGGCTCTTCCCCCCAGGCGCCGCCACCCCTGTGGCTACGGGAGCCCCCTCCTCGGCTCCAGTCCCCAGGCTTCCCTTGAGCTTGCGTTTAGGTCCCAGAAGAGCCCCGGGCACCCCTGTAGAACTGTCCAGGAAACCGTCATCCTCACTGTCACCGCCTGAGCCCTCTTCCTCCTGCTCACTGCCGGCTGCGTCAGCAGCGGGGGTCTCCAGCTTCTCCTCGTCAGAGCTGTACACCTTCCCCTCCGCTGCAAGGATGAAAAGCCAAGGCACAGGGTGGGCGTGGGGGGGCAGGAAGCAGGAGGGGTCGGAGGTGGCAGAGCCAGGTGGGGACAGGAAGAGGGTTAGGGAAGACAAAGAATGAGAAGAAAGGCTTTAATGAGCACAGATTCCCGGTGGCAGAGTGGGGAAGCTGCGGCCATAGACCACCCCCAGCTTTCCTCCTACCCCGCCTCATTCTCCTCCCCACCCACCACCTCCCCAGCTTCCTGTAAGTCCAGGGCCAAGGGCTGGGGTCCCCCGATTGTGCGCCAACTCCAAACCCAGGCCTGCTGTCCCAGGAGGAAGTGGTCGTTCTCCAGGAACCTGCATCTGTCCCAGCTGCTAGGAGCTGTCTCCTGACTTCAGCGCTGGATCCCTGCCTTTCCCCTGCCACTTGATCGGGGCCCGTAATCTTATTTCCAGGTGGGACCTTCAGGGTCCTCTGGTCCTATCTCACCCAAGTCTGAATCCAGGAAGTTCATAGGACCCAGGAGTCAGATGTTTCCTCACCAATCTCCTTTGAAATCCCACCCTCCACCCCTGGTGCTGGGGGCTGAACCCAAGGCCTCATGCATGCTAGGTAAGTGCTCTACCACTGAGCTATACCACCAGCCTTTGTTTCTTGTTTTGAGACAGGCTCTCGCTATGTAGTCCAGGCTGGCCTCAAACACATGGCGATCCTCCCATCTCAGCCTGCTGAGGGCTGGGGTTACAGGCATGCACCACCGTGCCCAGCTCCCCTTCCCAATTCTTAACCAGACCACTTAGCCAGAACAAGGGGTTTCCAGCCACATGCAACCCCCTTGTCTGTGGTTGGACTTTCCTCCCAGTTACTCAGCCTGGGATCCATTCCCAGTCCCGATCCTCAATTCTAAAATGACACCATCTCTTCCCCACCTTCCCCTGCCCTGGCTGCCAACCCTAGCAGTGTAGTCAGTGGCTTCTGCTCAGGCTTTGAGGCTCAAGGTTGGCTGGAAGGACTGGTGGGACCATGGGGCCAGGAGGAGGAAGAAGCACAAGAGTAACAGGGAAACAAAATGGTGAAAAAGAAATTCGGGCTCATTTAGTAGATGACTGATGATTTATAATCCCAGGCATCTAAACATTTTAATCCATACATAATTCTAAATCTTAATTCGACCACTAGTTTCCATCTTATGCACAGATGCACTTGTCAGGACTGCAAAAAATGCATTACAAAGGCTTGCAATGTTGGAGTTGCACAAACTCCCTTGTTTTCTGCCCAAAGGAAACAACAGAAAGTCAAAAGATAGGAAGGAACAAGAGGACAAGCCAGGCGTGGTAGCACACGCCTGTCGTCCCAGCACTTGGGAGGCTGAGGCAGGAGGATCACCTTGATCAGCCTGGATTAAAGAGCAAGACCTTGTCTCAAAATACCAACAGAGGGCAAAGTGACGCTGTGTGTAATGTATGGTCACGGGCTCCTCGTTGCTGTATCCATGCCCACTTTTACACCAGGTCACAAAATGTCTTTAGAGGCAGGAGTCTCAGCCCTGTCTGCTCTCCCTCCAACCCACCTCCTCCCTGTCCTTTCCCTCCCAAGGGCCTCCCTCTCGGGTCCCCATGCTGTTCCCACAGTCACTTCCTCTGCTGGCCCCCTTCTCCGTGTGCCCGGTGCCTGCACCATCAGCAGAAAGAGCTTCCAGGCCCCAGCTGTCAGCCTAGCCATCTCCCTCCTCCATCCCCGGCCACAGCCTTTCCCTAAAGATGCCGAGGTGCCCACCACTTCCCTGTCTCAGTTACTGGGAACTCTGACCACCCTGTCTTCAAATCTTTTTTTAAAAAATTGCAAAAAGAAGGGGAAAAAAATTGTGACAAGGTCTCATTATGCTGCCCAGTGTGGCCTCAAACTTGTGATCCGCCTCAGCCTCCAGAGTAGTGGGGATCACAGTTGTGTGCCACCACGCCAGGCCCAAACCAAATCTTTTGGGGTTTTATTTTTGGTACTGGGGATCGAACTTGGGACCTTGTGCTTGCAAAGGCAGGCGCCGGAACCACTGAGCTTAATCCCCAGCCCCCCCAAACCAAGTCTTGATGTCACCCTTCACTTCCGCTCTGTCGTGACCACACCCAGGTCACCTGCAGGTCTCTTGCTGGCCTTCTTTTCTCCCATTCCGGCTTGCCCTCACCACCCCTCCCCGTCCCCCGTCCCAGAGTCCAGGGTCTTCCCTGGGTCCCTGCCCAGCTCATTCCTGGCCTCCCTCAGGTTTTTCCTGTATGGCATGGCTGTCCCTGATCCCCTCTGACAGTCCTTTCCTCCCTTCTCTGGTTCATCTGCTTCTATAAACAGTTCACCCTCTTTAGGCATTTGTTTTACGGGCAAACCTTTCCCGGAACTCAAGCTCCGTGAAGACAGGGTTTTAGATCTATTTTAGTCACTCTGTGTCTCTTAAATGACCCGCACAACCAGGAATGGTGGTGCACTTCTGTCATCCCAGCACTTGAGAGGCCAGGGCAGGAGGATCACAGTGAGTTCAAGTCCTACCTGTCGAGACCCTGACAACTCCTGTGTACCTCCTGTCTCCCTCTCATTTGTTTATTTCTTTGTTTATTTCTATATTGGGGGTTGAACCCCGGGCATTTGCACTGAGCTACACCCCAAGCCCTTTATTTTTCGATTTGAGATAAGTTCTTGCTAAGTCACTAAGTTGCCCAGACTGGGCCCAAACTTGGGATCTTCCTGCCTCAGCCTCCCAGAGTGCTGGGATTATAGGCCTGGACCACCATGCCCAGCAGTCTTCCTCTCTCTTTCCCTTTCCATCTCGGTCCCTGCCCTTGCTGAGCCCATCTTGAGGTTCCCCCAGACCCAGCCAGCCAGTGCCCGTAGGACACCCCATGAACACAGCTGCCCCGCTGTCTCGGAGGTCTGGGATGCTGCACACACAGAGGAAAGCATGGGTGCTGAAAGAAGTGAAGGACAGTCCCACCACCCTTTCTAAACCCTCTGGCGTCAATTTTTTTTTTTTTTTTTTTTTTTTTGGTGCTGGGGATTGAACTCGGGACCTTGGGACTTTGAGGCAGGTGGCAGAACCACCGAGCTACATCCCCAGCCCCTCTGGCTTTAATTTTTAAAACACATTTTGTAGAACAAACCACAAAAGCTTCTGAAGCTCATCCCAATAGTACAATATTTTAAACAGTGCTAAAAAGACAGAAACTGGATTTCAGGGCTTGGAAGATAAAACCTCTTACTCCAGCGCCAGGCCCTCAGGGGGTGGCCAATAAATCTAAGCTGACAGTGACTGAGATGGGCTCCCCACTCCCAGATCGAGCAGCGCCACTGAGACCCCCATTCATTGCTGTCTTCGACAGATCAGAGAGGCCACCCTCTGAGCCACCTGGAGCCTCGTAGCAGCACGGCCAGGGCCCCACCACTCCGGGCTCCTTATGCGGGTGGGACTCAGGAGTGGCAGTCGATGGCTTCCACACCTCTATGATCGCAACACAGAGGACTCTGACAGCAATCAGGATGGACAGCGAGTGAAAGCACAGGCATCCAGGCCTTGGAGGACAGCGTGTGGGGCCATGAGTGAGACCCACAGTGAGGACGGGGTGGGAAGAGGACAGGCTGGAGCCGGCAGAGACAGGCCTGAAGCTGGGCCTTGAGGGGTGGAGAAGGGGCAGAACGAGGAAAAGATGAGCCAGACGAAGTGAAGGGGCTGAAAATATTCAAGAAGGGAGATAGAAAATAGGTAAAGGAGGGGCTGGGGATTTAGCTCAGTGGCACCACACCTGCCTGACGAGCGCAAGGCCCTGAGTTCATTCCCCGTGCCAAAAAAAGAAACTAGAGGAAATGGGGAACTATCAAAAGACTTTTAAAAAATATCCCCATGATCAGGCTTGGCGGTACATTCCTGTAAAGCCAGCACTTGGGAGGCTGAGGCAGGAGGGTTGCCACGAGTATGAGGCCAGCCTGGGCTACATAGGGAGCCCGTCTCGACCTTTTAGCCCCATATTGATGCAGCCGGAGCCCAGCCAGCATTTCCTGCAAGTCCATGGCTCTTTGCTCCAGCAGGGGCCACACCAAGGACCCAAAGGTGCAGCAGGGAGGGGGACAAGGGACAGAGGACACCCACCCGCCCAGGAAGGGATAATAAGCTAAGGGAGAGGCACCCTCACAAGCCCAAGTGGCCTACTGTTTCCCCTGAATTCGAGAAGAGCAAAATGCAAACTATTTTCTCTGAGCTGATTTACAGTATCAATGACACAAATAATGAAACGAAAATTGTCCTTAAAATTGTGTTACTGACTAGACACTGATAGCAGGAGCAATCTTTTTGGATAAAATTTCTATTTGCAAAATCTGATTTAGAGTAATTGGACTCGGTAGCGAGAATACCTGCAACAGCAAATTTCTGCAGCAGAGGCCGTTGTTGGTGGATAAGAACAAAATACTGATGGACAAAAGACTTCACTGAAAATTTTACATGAGAAATACTGATTCTAATGAGAACGCCTTTGGCAAAATGAAATGTTTAAGTTGAAAACAATTTGGTTGTGGCAGACGGCCAGAAAGGGCCCGCCCTTTGTGTGTGGGAATGGTGTTACTGGTATCGAGAAGAATGTGCTACCTGGGCCTGGTGATGGTCACCTGTAATCCCAGCCCTTGGGAGGCTGAGGCAGGAGGATCGCTGCGAGTTTGAGGCCAGCCTGGGCTACATAGTGAGACTTTGTCTCAAACCCCCCCAAAACAGGGGGGCCCCCAATTCATCCTCCAAAAAGATTATAGTTGCCATGGCTCCCATTCCTCGTTCATCATCATGGTCAGCAGAGCTATTTTCCTGCTCTTCTCTGCAGCAGCCTCTGTGCCATCACCGAGACACCAGCTTGCTTACAGGTGGTGCCACACTTGACTCCACCCCCCAGCTTCACGCTGTCCCAGTGCCACATTCCCTGCGCAACTTCAGGTGCGACCAGGAGGATTTGCTTTCCCGTCCTCTCACTGCTTTTCCCTGACCCTGCAGCA